TCTATCCCATTGATCCCATTACCCCACCCCTCTATCCCATTGGATCCCATTATCCCACCCCTCTATCCCATTGGATCCCATTATCCCACCCCTCTATCCCATTGGATCCCATTACCCCACCCCACTATCACATTGGATCCCATTATCCCACCCCTCTATCCCATTGGATTCGATTATCCCACCCCTCTATCCCATTGATCCCATTATCCCACCCCTCTATCCCATTGATCCCATTATCCCACCCCTCTATCCCATTGGATCCCATTATCCCACCCCTCTATCCCACTGGATCCCATTATCCCACCCCTCTATCCCATTGATCCCATTATCCCATCCCTTGATCCCATTATCCCATCCCTCAATCCCATTGCATCCCATTATCCCACCCCTCTACCCCATCGGATCCCATTATCCCACCCCTCTATCCCGTTGGATCCCATTATCCCATCCCTCTATCCCACTGGATCCCATTATCCCACCCCTCTATCCCATTGGATCCCATTACCCTACCCCTCTATCCCATTGGATCCCATTATCCCACCCCTCTATCCCATTGGATCCCATTATCCCATCCCTCTATCCCACTGGATCCCATTATCCCACCCCTCTATCCCATTAGATCCCATTATCCCATTCCTCTATCCCATTGGATCCCATTATCCCTGCACCCCACTGGATCCCACCCCTCTATCCCACTGGATCCCATTATCCCACCCCTCTATCCCACTGGATCCCATTATCCCATCCCTCTATCCCACTGGATCCCATTATCCCATCCCTCTATCCCACTGGATGCCATTATCCCACCCCTCTATCCCATTGGACCCCATTATCCCATTGGATCCCATTATCCCATACCCTCTATCCCATTGGATCCCATTATCCCATCCCTCTATCCCATTGGATCCCATTATCCCAGCCCTCTGTCCCATTGGATCCCATTATCCCACCCCTCTATCCCGTTGGATCCCATTATCCCATCCCTCTATCCCATTGGATCCCATTATCCCAGCCCTCTGTCCCATTGGATCCCATTATCCCACCCCTCTATCCCATTGGATCCCATTCTCCCATCCCTCTATCCCATTGATCCCATTCTCCTACCCCTCTATCCCATTGGATCCCATTCTCCTACCACTCTATCCCATTGGATCCCATTATCCCACCCCTCTATCCCATTGGATCCCATTATCCTACCCCTCTATCCCATCGGATCCCATTATCCCACCCCTCTATCCCACTGGATCCCATTATCCCACCCCTCTATCCCATTGGATCCCATTATCCCACCCCTCTATCCCGTTGGATCCCATTATCCCATCCCTCTATCCCACTGGATCCCATTATCCCACCCCTCTATCCCATTGGATCCCATTCTCCTACCCCTCTATCCCATTGGATCCCATTATCCCACCCCTCTATCCAATTGGATCCCATTATCCCAGTCCTCTATCCCATTGGATCCCATTCTCCTACCCCTCTATCCCATTGGATCCCATTATCCCATTCCTCTATCCCATTGGATCCCATTATCCCTGCACCCCACTGGATCCCACTCCTTTATCCCATTGGATCCCATTATCCCACCCCTCTATCCCATTGATCCCATTATCCCATCCCTCTATCCCATTGGATCCCATTATCCCACCCCTCTATCCCATTGATCCCATTGTCCCATCCCTCAATCCCATTGGATCCCATTATCCCACCCCTCTACCCCATCGGATCCCATTATCCCACCCCTCTATCCTGTTGGATCCCATTATCCCATCCCTCTATCCCATTGGATCCCATTATCCCACCCCTCTTGGATCCCATTATCCCACCCCTCTATCCCATTGGATCCCATTATCCCACCCCTCTGTCACATTGGATCCCATTATCCCACCCCTCTATCCCATTGGATCCCATTATCCCATCCCTCTATCCCTCTATCCCATTGGATCCCATTATCCCATCCCTCTATCCCATTGGATCCCATTATCCCACCCCTCTATCCCATTGGATCCCATTATCCCACCCCTCTATCCCATTGAATCCCATTATCCCACCCTTCTATCCCATTGGATCCCATTATCCCACCCCCTATCCCATTGGATCCCATTATCCCACCCCTCTATCCCATTGGATCCCATTATCCCACCCCTCTGTCCCATTGGATCCCATTATCCCATCCCTCTATCCCATTGGATCCCATTATCCCACCCCTCTATCCCATTGGATCCCATTATCCCACCCCTCTATCCCATTGGATCCCATTATCCCACCCCTCTATCCCATCGGATCCCATTATCCCACCCCTCTATCCCATTGGATCCCATTATCCCACCCCTCTATCCCATTGGATCCCATTATCCCATCCCTCTATCCCATTGGATCCCATTATCCCACCCCTCTATCCCATTGGATCCCATTATCCCACCCCTCTATCCCATTGGATCCCATTATCCCCACCCCACTGGATCCCACCCATCCCACTGGATCCCATTATCCCATCCCTCTATCCCATTGGATCCCATTATCCCATTGGATCCCATTATCCCATCCCTCTATCCCACTGGATCCCATTATCCCACCTCTCTATCCCATCAGATCCCATTATCCCACCCCTCTATCCCATTGGATCCCATTATCCCATCCCTCTATCCCATTGGATCCCATTATCCCACCCCTCTATCCCATTGGATCCCATTATCCCTGCACCCCACTGGATCCCACCCCTCTATCCCATTGGATCCCATTATCCCACCCCTCTATCCCATTGGATCCCATTATCCCACCCCTCTATCCCATTGGATCCCATTATCCCACCCCTCTATCCCATTGGATCCCATTATCCCATCCCTCTATCCCATTGGATCCCATTATCCCACCCCTCTATCCCATTGGATCCCATTCTCCTACCCCTCTATCCCATCGGATCCCATTATCCCACCCCTCTATCCCATTGGATCCCATTATCCCACCCCTCTATCCCATTGGATCCCATTACCCCACCCACTCATCCCATTGGATCCCATTACACACCCACCACACCTCACACACACACACACACACACATCCCACCCCTATCCCATCGGATCCCATTATCCTCCCATCCCATGGATCCCATTATCCCACCCCTCTATCCCACTGGATCCCATTATCCCACCCCTCTATCCCATTGGATCCCATTATCCCACCCCTCTATCCCATTGGATCCCATTATCCCACCCCTCTACCCCATCGGATCCCATTATCCCACCCCTCTATCCCGTTGGATCCCATTATCCCATCCCTCTGTCCCATTGATCCCATTATCCCACCCCTCTATCCCATTGGATCCCATTATCCCACCCCTCTGTCCCATTGGATCCCATTATCCCATCCCTGTATCCCATTGGATCCCATTACCCCTGCACCCACTGGATCCCATTAACCCCGTTCCCCATTGGATCCCATTATCCCTGCACCCACTGGATCCCATTCCTTGATCCCATGGGATCCCATTGGATCCCATAGGATTCCATTATCCCTGCATCCCACTGGATCCCATTATCCCATCCCTGGATGCCATTGGCTCCCAGTATCCCGCCCTCCCATTGGCTCCCACCATCCCGCTCTCCCATTGGCTCCCACCATCCCGCTCTCCCATTGGCTCCCACCATCCCGCTCTCCCATTGGCTCCCACCATCCCGCTCTCCCATTGGCTCCCACCATCCCGCTCTCCCATTGGCTCCCAGTATCCCGCTCTCCCATTGGCTCCCACCATCCCGCTCTCCCATTGGCTCCCAGTATCCCGCTCTCCCATTGGCTCCCAGTATCCCGCTCTCCCAGTATCCCGCTCTCCCATTGGCTACCCTCGATGGAGGCCGCCGTCACCCTGAGCCCGTCCTCGCTGCTGATCTCGAAGCAGAGACGGGGGCGCCCGGGGGGGGGGAGGGGCCCCTCTGGGGGCGGGGCCTCATCCTCTGAGCTGGCACCTATGGGTGGGGGGCACCCATGGGTGGGGGGCACCCATGGGTGCTCCCATAGCGACTGACCCCCCCCCATAGGATGTGATGGGGACACCCATGGGTGCTCCCAGGAAGGACCTGGGGGCACCCATGGGTGCTCCCCCTCCCCCCCCCCCGACCCCCCCATAGGGTGCAATGGGGGCACCCATGGGTGCTCCCATAAGGACCTCCCCCCCCCGATCCCCCCATAGGGTGCGATGGGGGCACCCATGGGTGCTCCCGTAAGGACCTCCCCTCCCCTCCATAGGGTGCAATGGGGGCACCCAGGGGTGCTCCCATAAGGACCTCCCGCCCCCCTCCATAGGGTGCAATGGGGGCACCCATGGGTGCTCCTTACCTGCACAGGTGGCCCAGGGGGGGTCCAGGGCGGCGTCGCTTGGGGGGGGGGACCTGTGGGGAGGCAAAGGGGGGTGGGGGCTATGGATGGGTGCTATGGGTGCTGGGTGCTATGGATGATAGGTGCTATAGATAATGGGTGCTATAGATGGGTGCTATGGATAATGGGTGCTAAAGATGATGGGTGCTATGAAGGGGTGCTATAGGTGGGTGCTGTGGGTGCTGGGTGCCACGGATGAGTGCTATAGATGGGTGTTGGGTGCCATGGATGGGTGCTACAGATAAGGGCTGCGTGCTACAGATGGGTGCTATAGATGGGTGCTGGGTACCATAGATGGATGCTATAGATGGGTGCTATGGGTGCTGGGTGCAATGGATGGGTGCTATGGGTGCTGGGTGCCACAGATGGGTGCTCACCCGAAGCTGCCGCCGTCACTCAACTCCTCGGGCTCCTCTTTGATGCTCGCTTCGGGGTCCCCCATGGCCCTGTGGGTGCAGCGCAGCACCCATGGGTGCTCCCGAGGGTGCTAATGGGGCACCCATAGGTGCCAATGGGGCCCACGGGGCCAACCAGGACCACCCCCACGCACACACAATGAGCACCCATAGGCCCCACCAGGTGCCCCTCCCGCCTCCCACTGGCACCCATGGGTGCTGCGGGCCCGATCCTTACCTCGCATCCATCTCCTCCTCGCCTCCGTCCCCATGGGCCCCGATGGGCTCCATCCGGGCCCGTTTGGGTGCTCCAGCACCCATGGGGTCCCCGGGGCGCTTGGGTGGCCACGGGGGCACCCAATGGGCCCCATTGTCCCCTATGGAGGCGGTGCACCCATGGGTGCCATTGGGGTGGGTGGTGGCGCCGTCTCCTTTATGGGTGCTGTCCCATTGGGTGCTATGGGCATCATGGCCATGGGTGCCATCTTGATGGGTGCCGTCCCATTGGGTGCTATGGGCGTCGTGGCCATGGGTGCTGTCCTCTCGATGGGTGCCGTCCTCTCGATGGGTGCCATCCCATTGGGTGCTATGGGCCTCGTGGCCATGGGTGCCGTCCTCTCGATGGGTGCCGTCCCATTGGGTGCTATGGGCCTCGTGGCCGTGGGTGCCGTCCTCTCGACGGGTGCCGTCCCATTGGGTGCTGTGGGTGCCGCCTCCATCCCCCTTGGGGGGCACCCATTGGGTGCCCCCGTCCCCATTGACCCCTTGGGTGCCATTGGCCGCCATGCTCTTGAGGACGAAGTCCACGAGCTCGGAGGGGAGGTGCTCCGTGGGTGCTGGCCCCAGAGGGGCACCCATGGGTGCCCCCCCACCCTTGTCCCCATCGTCCACCCCATCCAATTGGTCAATGTGGGGCGACGGGGGGGCGGGGCAAGGGGCCGGGGGGGGCCGGGCCACCACGGTGCGGCTGAAGTGGACATAGGGGTCCCGATGGGTGCCCCCCCGATGGGTGCCCCCATTGGCACCCACGTCCTCGTCCTCGCTGCTGTCACCCATGGGTGCCCCCCCCAGGAGGGCGCTGAGGGCCAATGGGGACAACGGGGGAGGGCCCATGGGTGACGATGGGCTCGGTCCATTGGGTGATGCTGGGCCCATAGGCGATGGGTGCCCCATAGGCGATGCTGGTCCCATAGGCGATGGGTGCTCATTGGGTGCTGCTGGATCCATGGGTGACGATGGCCTTGACGCTGAGCTTGGTCCATTGGGCGCCATTGATCCATTGGGTGCCATTGACCCATTGGGTGACCCATTGGGTGTCCCATTGGGTGCCCCATTGGGTGCCCCATTGGGCCAGCGCTGGGGGGCACCCATGGGTGCCAGGGTCCTGCGGGCCCGGCGGGGGGGGGGGAACTCGGGGTCCCCAACGGTCAGGATGTGACGGGGGACGGGGGGGGCGCTGCCTGCGGGGGGGGGGGAAACACAATGGGGGTCAATGGGGCAGCCCCATAGCACACATAGCACCCATTGCCCCCCACTGCCCCCACAGCACCCATTGCCCCCCATTGCCCCCATAGCACCCATTGCCCCCATAGCACCCCTACCACCCATAGCACCCAGGGCCCCCATTGCCCCCAAAGCCCCCATTAGCCCCATTGCCCCCCACTGCCCCCATAGCACCCCTACCACCCATAGCACCCATGGCCCCCATGGCACCCATTGCCCCCCATTACCTCCATTGCCCCCAAAGCCCCCATTAGCCCCATTGACCCAATTACCCCCATAGCCCCTATAGCACCCATTGACCCAATTACCCCCATAGCCCCCATAGCACCCATTGACCCAATTACCCCCATAGCCCCTATAGCACCCATTGACCCAATTACCCCCATAGCCCCTATAGCACCCATTGACCCAATTACCCCCATAGCCCCTATAGCACCCATTACCCCCATTGACCCAATTACCCCCATAGCTATAGCACCCATTGACCCAATTACCCCCATAGCCCCCATAGCACCCATTGACCCAATTACCCCCATAGCCCCTATAGCACCCATTGACCCAATTACCCCCATAGCCCCCATAGCACCCATTACCCCCATTGACCCAATTACCCCCATAGCCCCCATTGACCCAATTACCCCCATAGCCCCATAGCCCCTATAGCACCCATAGCCCCTATAGCACCCATAGTCCCCATAGCACCCACCAGGGGATGGGAGGGGCCTGGATGAGGTCCCCGTTGGGGGTCTCCGGGTGGGGTGGGGGCTGGGGGTGCCCCAAGCTCCTTCTGGGCCCCCCCCCGCAATGGGGCTGGGGGGGGACCCTGGGGTGGGACCTGTGGGGAGAAAGGGGGGGTTAAAGGGGGCACCCATAGGGATCAATGGGGCACCCATATTGATCAATGGGGTGGCCATGGGGATCAATGGGGCACCCATAGGGATCAATGGGGCGCCCATGGGGATCAATGGGGTACCCATAGGGATCAATGGGGTGGCCATGGGGATCAATGGGGCACCCATAGGGATCAATGGGGCGCCCATGGGGATCAATGGGGTACCCATAGGGATCAATGGGGTGGCCATGGGGATCAATGGGGCACCCATAGGGATCAATGGGGCGCCCATGGGGATCAATGGGGTACCCATAGGGATCAATGGGGTGGCCATGGGGATCAATGGGGCACCCATAGGGATCAATGGGGCGGCCATGGGGATCAATGGGGTACCCATAGGGATCAATGAGGCGGCCATGGGGATCATGGGGTGCCCATAGGGCTCAATGGAGTGCCCATAGGGATCAACGGGGCGCCCATAGGGATCAATGGGGCATCCATAGGGATCAACGGGGCAGCCATGGGGATCAATGGGGCGGCCATGGGGTGCAATGGGATGGCCATGGGGATCAATGGGGCACCCATAGGCCTCAATGGGGCGACCATGGGGTGCAATGGGGCAGCCATGGAGGGCAATGGGTCACCCATAGGGATCAATGGGGCAGCCATGGGGCGCAATGGGTCACCCACAGGGACCAATGGGGCACCCGTAGGGATCAATGGGGCACCCATAGGGATCAATGGGGCAGCCATGGGGTGGCCATGGGGCGGCCTTGGGGCGCTATGGGGCAGCCATGGGGTGCTATGGGGCAGCCATGGGGCGCTATGGGGCAGCCATGGGGCGCTATGGGGCGGGCCGTACCGTGGGCGATGGTGCGGTTGATGTCGGGGGGGCGGGGCCGGGCGCCCCCCTCCCCCCCCGGCGCCTGCTCCAGGATGCGGCAGCGGTACCAGCACCGGCGCCGCGCGTCCCGCGTGCTCCAGTAGAGGCGCCAGCACCTGCCCAGGACGGACCAGTTACAACCAGTACGGACCAGTATGGACCGGTTAGAACCAGTATGGGACCAGTATGGACCAGTTAGAAACAGTATGGGACCGGTATGGACCAGTATGGGACCAGTCAGAACCAGTATGGACCAGTTAGAACCAGTATGGATCAGTATGGGACCGGTCAGAACCAGTATGGGACCGGTATGGGACCAGTATGGACCAGTTAGAACCAGTATGGACCAGTATGGACTGGTCAGAACCAGTATGGGACCAGTATGGACCGGTTAGAACCACTACGGACCGGTTAGAACCACTACGGACCAGTATGGACCGGTTAGAACCAGTATGGGACCGGTATGGGACCAGTATGGACCGGTCAGAACCAGTATGGGACCAGCATGGACCGGTTAGAACCAGTATGGACCAGCATAAACCGGTCAGAACCAGTATGGGACCAGCATGGACCGGTTAGAACCAGTATGGACCAGCATAAACCGGTCAGAACCAGTATGGGACCAGCATGGACCGGTTAGAACCAGTATGGGACCAGTTAGAACCAGTATGGGACCAGCATAAACCGGTCAGAACCAGTACGGGACCAGTATGGACCAGTTACAACCAGTATGGACCAGCATAAACCGGTCAGAACCAGTATGGGACCAGTTAGAACCAGTACGGGACCAGTATGGACCAGTTAGAACCAGTATGGGACCAGTTAGAACCAGTACGGACCAGTATGGACCAGTTAGAACCAGTATGGGACCAGTATGGGACCAGTATGGACCAGTTAGAACCAGTACGGACCAGTATGGACCAGTATGGGACCAGTATGGACCAATTAGAACCAGTATGGATCAGTATGGGACCGGTCAGAACCAGTATGGACCGGTTAGAACCAGTATGGGACTGGTCAGAACCAGTATGGACCAGTTAGAACCAGTACGGACCAGTATGGACCGGTTAGAACCAGTATGGGACCGGTATGGGACCAGTATGGACCAGTTAGAATCGGTATGAACCATCCCCCCCCTCCCCACCCCTCCCGCACCCTGCCGCTCCCCCTCCCTCACTGGTATCCCACAGGGAACAGCCTCCCCTCCCCCACCCCCTCCCCCCCCCGCCCCTCCCCCTCCCTCACTGGTATCCCACAGGGAACAGCCTCCCCTCCCCCACCCCTCCCCTCCCCCTCCCTCACTGGTATCCCACAGGGAACAGCCTCCCCTCCCCCACCCCTCCCCTCCCCCTCCCTCACTGGTATCCCACAGGGAACAGCCTCCCGTCGCGCTCCGACAGCTCCGTCAGCGCCCCCAGGCTGTCGATGCGGATGGAGCCTGCGGGAACCCCCCGTCAGCACCCATGGGTGCCCCACATGGAGCCCTATGGGTGCCCCACTGAACCCTATGGGTGCCCCACATGGAGCCCTATGGGTGCCCCACTGAACCCTATGGGTGCCCCATTGAACCCTATGTGTGCCCCATGGAACCCTAAAGGTGCCCCCCCCAGAGCTCCAATGGGTGCCCCCTAAGCCCATTTAACCCCTTTAAGCCCCCCATAGGACCCCCCCAGCACCCATAGAACCGCCATAAACACCCATAGGCCCCTTCCAGCACCCATAGGACCCCCCCAGCACCCATAGAACTGCCATAAGCACCCATAGGCCCCTCCCAGCGCCCATAGGAACCCCCCAGCACCCATAGAACCCCCATAAGCACCCGTCGGACCCCCCTATCACCCATAGGACACCCCCCAGAAGGCATGAGAGAACCCCCCAGCACCCATAGGGCCCCCCAGCACCCACAGAACCCCCATAAGCAGCCACAAGACACCCCCCTCCCCAGCACCCATGGGTGCCCCCTAAGCCCATTTAACCCCATTAAACCCGCATAGGACCCCCCCCAGCACCCATAGAACCCCCATAAGCACCCATAGGCCCCTTCCAGCACCCATAGGACCCCCCCCAGCACCCATAGAACCCCCATAAGCACCCATTAGACCCCCCCAGCACCCATAGGACCCCCACCCCAGCACCCATAGGACCCCCCCAGCACCCATAGAACCCCCATAAGCACCCATAGGACCCCCCCCAGCACCCATAGGACGCCCCCCAGCACCCATGGGTGCCCCCCTCCCAGCACCCATGGGTGCCGCTGACCGATCATCATGTGCACGGCCTCGGGCTCCAGCCCCCCCAGGAACTTCCTCTTGAGGCTCAGGCCCCCGAAGTCCACCAGGACCCGGCGCAGCACCGCAAAGCCCTCATCCTGCACCAGCGCCTGCGGACACACAGGGACCCACAGAGACACATGGGGACACATAGGGACACATAGGGACCCATAGAGACCCCATAGAGACCCATAGAGACACATAGGGACCCATAGAGACCCATAGAGACCCATAGAGACACGTAGGGACCCATAGGGACCCCATAGAGACCCCATAGAGACACATAGGGACACATAGAGACCCCATAGGGACCCATACAGACCCATAGGGACCTCACAGAGACCCATAGAGACCCATAAGGACCCATACTGACCCACAGAGACCCATAGGGACCTCATAGGGACCCATAGAGACCCATAGGGACCCCATAGACACCCACAGAGACACATAGAGGCCAAAGGGACCCCATAGAGACCCATAGGAACCCCATAAAGACCCACACCCATAGAGACCCATAGGGACCCCATAAAGACATACAGAGACCCCACAGAGACCCATAGAGCCCCACAGGCACCCCATAGCGCCCCATAGCGCCCCACATGTCCCCATAGCTCACGGCAGGGTCCCGCAGGCGCGCGTGCCGCTGGCAGAAGACCCTCTTGTTGACCCATAGAGCCCCACAGACACCCCATAGAGCCCCACAGACACCCCATAGCGCCCCATAGCTCACGGCAGGGTCCCGCAGGCGCGCGTGCCACTGGCAGAAGACCCTCTTGTTGACCCATAGAGCCCCACAGACACCCCATAGGGCCCCATAGAGCCCCACAGACACCCCATAGAGCCCCATAGAGACCCCATAGCGCCCCATAGCTCACGGCAGGGTCCCGCAGGCGCGCGTGCCGCTGGCAGAAGACCCTCTTGTTGACCCATAGAGCCCCACAGACACCCCATAGAGACCCCATAGAGCCCCATAGAGACCCATATATACCCACAGACACCCCATAGAGCCCCACAGACACCCCATAGAGCCCCATAGAGACCCCATAGAGCCCCACATGGCCCCAGAGCTCACGGCAGGGTCCCGCAGGCACGCGTGCCGCTGGCAGAAGACCCTCTTGTTGACCCATAGAGCCCCACAGACACCCAATAGAGCCCCATAGAGCCCCACAGACACCCCATAGAGCCCCATAGAGCCCCACAGACACCCCATAGAGCCCCATAGAGACCCCATAGAGACCCCATAGAGACCCATAGCCCCCATAGAGCCCCATAGAGCCCCATAGCGCCCCATAGCGCCCCATAGCTCACGGCAGGGTCCCGCAGGCGCGCGTGCCGCTGGCAGAAGACCCTCTTGTTGACCCATAGAGCCCCACAGACACCCCATAGAGCCCCACAGACACCCCATAGAGCCCCATAGAGCCCCACAGACACCCCATAGAGCCCCATAGAGACCCCATAGAGCCCCATAGAGACCCATAGAGACCCACAGACACCCCATAGAGCCCCATAGCGCCCCATAGCGCCCCATAGCTCACGGCAGGGTCCCGCAGGCGCGCGTGCCGCTGGCAGAAGACCCTCTTGTTGACCCATAGAGCCCCACAGACACCCCATAGAGCCCCACAGACACCCCATAGAGACCCACAGACACCCCATAGAGCCCCATAGCGCCCCATAGCGCCCCATAGCTCACGGCAGGGTCCCGCAGGCGCGCGTGCCGCTGGCAGAAGACCCTCTTGTCGCGCTGGAAGGCGGCGCGGCGCCGCCGGGCGCACATGAAGTGGAAGTTGGCGAGGCAGGCGGCCAGGCAGCACCCAACCGTGGCCCCGGGGCGCCCACAGTGCTCACAGCGCTGCGGGGGGGACATGGGCGTCAGGGGCACCCATGGGTGCTGCACTGGTACCCATGGGTGCTGCTGAGCATCCTTAGGTACAGCAGTGGTAACCATGGATACAGTGGTGGTAACCATGGGTACAGCAGCAGTAACCATGGATACAGCAGTGGTAACCATGGGTGCTGCTGAGCATCCTTAGGTACAGCAGTGGTAACCATGGATACAGCGGTGGTAACCATGGGTGCTGCATTGGTAACCATGGATACAGCGGTGGTACCCATGGGTGCTGCTGAGCATCCTTAGGTACAGCAGTGGTAACCATGGATACAGCGGTGGTAACCATGGATACAGCAGCGGTAACCATGGATACAGCATTGGTAACCATGGATACAGCGGTGGTAACCATGGATACAGCAGTGGTAACCATGGATACAGCAGTGGTAACCATGGATACAGCAGTGGTAACCATGGATACAGCGGTGGTAACCATGGATACAGCAGTGGTAACCATGGATACAGCGGTGGTAACCATGGATACAGTGGTGGTAACCATGGATGCTCAGTGGTCCCCATGGATGCATCCTCAGATACATATTTACCACCCCATAGCCCCCATTTACCACCCCATAGCCCCCATTTACCACCCCACAGCCCCCATTTACCACCCCATAGCCCCCATTTACCACCCCACAGCCCCCATTGAACACCCCACAGCCCCCATTGAACACCCCCCCGTGGCACCCATGGGTGCTGACCATCTGGCGCCCGCGGGCCACGGCGGCGTGCACGTTGCGCAGGGTCCCGTCGCCCTCCTCGAAGACCTCGGCCGACCACAGGGCGCAGTTCACGTGGGTCCACTCGTTCTGCCCGATGTAGAGCAGCCGGCCCTCGTCCTGCAGCAGCACCCACAGCACCCAATGGCACCCATTGGCACCCATCGGCACCCATTGGTATCCATCGGCACCCATTGGTATCCATTGGAACCCATCGGCACCCACAGCACCCAATGGCACCCATCGGCACCCACTGGAACCCATCGGCACCCATTGCACCCATCGGTACCCATTGGTATCCATTGGAACCCAGAGCACCCATTGGTACCCACTGGAACCCATCGGCACCCATTGCACCCATTGGTACCCATTGGCACCGACAGCACCCAGAGCACCCAACGGCACCCAATTGCACCCACTGGCACCCAGAGCACCTCCCGGTATCCACTGATACCCATTGGTATTCCATTAGAACCCACTGACACCCATGGCACCCACAGCACCCATTGGTATCCACTGACACCCATGGCACCCATTGATCCCCACTGATACCCATTGGTATTCCATTGGAACCCACTGACACCCATAGCACCCATTGGTATCCAGTGACACCCATGGGCACCCATTGACCCCCACTGATACCCATTGGTATTCCATTGGAACCCACTGACACCCATGGCACCCACAGCACCCATTGGTATCCACTGACACCCATGGGCACCCATTGGAACCCACTGACACCCATGGGCACCCCTTGGTATCCACTGACACCCATGGGCACCCATTGGAACCCACTGACACCCATGGCACCCATAGCACCCATTGGTATCCACTGACACCCATGGGCACCCATTGACCCCCACTGATACCCATTGGTATTCCATTGGAACCCACTGACACCCATAGCACCCATTGGTATCCACTGACACCCATGGCACCCATTGGTATCCACTGACACCCATGGCACCCCTTGGAACCCACTGACACCCATGGCACCCATTGGAACTCACTGACACCCATGGCACCCACAGCACCCATTGGTATCCACTGACACCCACGGGCACCCATTGCCCCCCATTGGTATCCATTAGCACCCATTGCCCCCCCAGCACCCATGGGTGCCCTACCTGGCAGGGCGCGTCCCCGCACTGCAGGCACAGGGCGCACTGGCGATCGTCCTCCCCTCCCCCATTGGGCACCGCTGGCTCCGCCCCTTCCTCTATGGGGGGGGAGGGGCTTCAGTGGGGGGCGGGGGGGCGGGGGGGGTCCCAGCCCAGCAGGGGGCGCCCCGAGGGGCACCCATGGGTGCTCACCGGGGGGGGGCAGGGGGGGCTCCGGCCGCCATTGGGCGTACGTGTGGTCGGGGGAGGGGGGCAGCACGGCGTGGGGCAGGCGGCTGCGGGGGGAGAGCGGTCAGCACCCAAAATCACCACAAATCACCCCAAAATCACCCAAAATCACCCCAAAATTGCGTCAAAATCACCCACAATCACACCAAAATAGCACCAAAATCACCCCAAATCACCCCAAAATCACCCCAAAATAGCATCAAAATAACCCAAAATCACCCCAAATCACCCCAAATCACCCAAAATCACCCCAAATAACCCCAAATAACCCCAAAATAGCACCAAAATCACCCTAAATCACCCCAAAAGAGCATCAAAATCACCCAAAATCGCCCCAAAATCACCCAAAATCACCCAAAATCGCCCCAAAATCACCCCAAAAGAGCATCAAAATCACCCCAAAATCGCCCCAAAATCACCCCAAAATAACATCAAAATCACCCCAAAATCACCCCAAAAGAGCGTCAAAATCACCCCAAAATAGCAACAAAATCACCCCAAATCACCCCAAAATAGCACCAAAATCAACCCAAATCACCCCAAAATAGCAACAAAATCACCCAAAATCACCCCATTGGCACCCATCAACACCCATCAGCACCCATCAGCACCCATCGGCACCCATCGGCACCCATCAACACCCATCGGCACCCATCGGCACCCATCGGCACCCATCAGCACCCATCGGCACCCATCAGCACCCATCGACACCCATCAGCACCCATCAGCACCCATCAGCACCCATCAGCACCCATCGACACCCATCGGCACCCATCAGCACCCATCGGCACCCATCAGCACCCATCGGCACCCATCGGCACCCATCGGCACCCATCGACACCCATCGGCACCCATCAGCACCCATTGACACCCATCAGCACCCATCAACACCCATCGGCACCCATCGGCACCCATCGGCACCCATCAGCACCCATCGGCACCCATCGGCACCCATCAGCACCCATCGGCACCCATCAGCACCCATCAGCACCCATCGGCACCCATCAGCACCCATCAGCACCCATCAGCACCCATCAGCACCCATCAGCACCCATCGGCACCCATCGGCACCCATTGACTCACTCAGGGTCCCCGTCCCCGGGCGGGCGCCAGCGCTTGGGGTCCCGGATGTCGAAGCAGGGGAAGGCTCCGAGCATGAGCTATGGGGCAGGGGCACCCATGGGTGCTCCGCTCACCCCTATGGGTGCCCCACTGCCCCTATGGGTGCCCCACTTACCCCTATGGGTGCCCCACTCACCCCTATGGGTGCTCCACTCACCCCTATGGGTGCTCCACTCACCCCTATGGGTGCCCCACTGCCCCCTATGGGTGCCCCACTGCCCCCTATGGGTGCTCCACTCACCCCTATGGGTGCCCCACTGCCCCTATGGGTGCTCCACTCACCCCTATGGGTGCCCCACTGCCCCCTATGTGTGGCCCACTGCCCCCTATGGGTGCCCCATTACCCCCCGTGGGTGCCCCCCCCACCCCATAGCACCCATGGGTGCCCCATACCTGGATGAAGAGCTCACAGGCACCGTCGCTTATGGGGCTGCCCCCCATGGGTGCCCCCCCCCGCAGCAGCACCCCAATGACGTCCTGGCTGAAGTCCTGCTGCAGAGCACCCATAGGACCCATATAAGCCCCAGAGCACCCATAGAGCACCCAGGTCAACCCCACAGCACCCACAGAACACCCATGTAACCCCCACAGCACCCACAGAGCACCCATGTAACCCCCACAGCACCCACAGAGCACCCATGTAACCCCCATACCACCCCCACAGCATCCATGGGACCCATATAACCCCATAGCACCCATATGCCCCCATAGCACCCATATAACCCCATAGCACCCATGTAACCCCATAGCACCCATACGAACCCCATAACACCCCCAAGACCCATATAACCCCCATAGCACCCCCACAGCACCCATGGGACCCATATAACTCCATAGCACCCATATAACCCCCACAGCACCCATGGCACTCCCATAACCCCTATAGCACCCGTATAACCCCCATACCACCCATATGACTCCCACAACCCTTCCATCCAAAAGCACCCATGGGTGCCCACCCCATAGCACCCATGTGAAACCCCCCCCATAGCACCCATGGGTGCCCACCCCATAGCACCCATGTGAAACCCCTCCCATAGCACCCATGGGTGCCCACCCCATAGCACCCATGTGAAACCCCCCCCATAGCACCCATAGGTGCCCACCCCGCAGCACCCATGTGAAATCCCCCCATAGCACCCATGGGTGCCCCCCCCCCCCCCATAGCACCCATGGGTGCCCCCATCCCCCCCCCATAGCACCCATGGGTGCCCCCTCACCACGGAGTCGTAGTGGCCTCCTTCCAGCAGCTCCCCGATGGCTCCCAGGTCGCAGGGGCCTGGGTGCAGCTTCACCCCCCCCCCGGGGGGGCACTGGGGGAGAGTCAGCACCCATGGGTGCCCCCCACCCCACTGGGTGCCCCCCACCCCATTGGGTGCTCCTCATCCCCAATGGGTACCCCCGACCCCATTGGGTGCCCCCCATCCCCATTGGGTGCTCCTCATCCCCAATGGGTGCCCCCCACCCCATTGGGTGCCCCCCATCCCCAATGGGTACCCCCGACCCCAATGGGTGCCCCCCACCCCATTGGGTGCTCCTCATCCCCAATGGGTGCCCCAGACCCCATTGGGTGCTCCCCATCCCCAGTGGGTGCCCCCCACCCCATTGGGTGCTCCTCATCCCCAATGGGTGCCTCAGACCCCATTGGGTGCTCCCCATCCCCACTGGGTGCCCCCCACCCCATTGGGTGCTCCTCATCCCCAATGGGTACCCCCGACCCCATTGGGTGCCCCCAACCCCAATGGGTGTGTCCCCCGTTGGGTGCCCCCCACCCATAGGTATCACCCACCCCTATCGGGCGCCCCCCACCCCATTGGGTGCCCCCCACCCAATAGGTGCCCCCCACCCCATTGGGTGCTCCCCATCCTCAATGGGTACCCCCCACCCCCATTGAGTGCCCCCAACCCCATTGGGTGCCCCCCACCCCATTGAGTGCCCCCAACCCCAATGGGTGCCCCCCCACCCATGGGTGCCCCCCCATGGGTGCCCCGGTACCTGCTGGCAGTGGCTGAGGGGGCCCCCATGGGGGGAGCGCAGGAGCGCGCCCAGGACGCGCCGCAGCGCCCCCTGCAGGGCCCCGCCCCCATCGGCACCCGGAGCCGCCTCCGCCTCTGGGGGGAGAGAGCACCCATTGACACCCATTAAAACCCATTGACACCCATTGACACCCACTGACATCCATTGACACCCATTGACACCCATTGACACCCATTGACACCCATTGACACCCATTGACACCCATTGACACCCATTGACACCCATTGACCCCATTGACACCCATTGACACCCATCGACCCCATTGACACCCATTGACACCCATTGACACCCATTGACACCCATCGACCCCATTGACACCCATTGACACCCATTGACACCCATTGACACCCATTAACACCCATGGACACCCATAGACATCCATTGAGACCCATAGACACCCATTGACATCCATTGACACCCATTGACACCCATTGACACCCATTGACACCCATTGACACCCATTGACACCCACTGACACCCATTGATCCCCATTGACACCCATTGGCACTCATTGATACCCATTGACACCCACTGACACCCATTGACACTCACTGATACCCATTGACACCCATTGACACCCATTGACACCCACTGTCACTGACACCCACTAATACCCAAAGCACCCATTAGCACCCATAGACACCTACTGGTCCCCACTGACACCCATAGCACCCATAGAACCCACTGACACCCATAGCCCCCCGACACCCATAGCACCCACTGACACCCACAGCCCACATTGATGCCCATAGCACCCACTGACACCCATAGCACCCATAGAACCCACTGACACCCATAGCCCCCCGACACCCATAGCACCCACTGACACCCACAGCCCCCATAGCCCCCATTGACACCCACAGCCCCCATCGACGCCCATAGCACCCACAGCCCCCATTGACACCCACAGCCCCCATTGACGCCCATAGCACCCACAGCCCCCATTGACACCCACAGCCCCCATTGACACCCAGAGCCCCCATTGACACCCATAGCACCCATAGCCCCCATAGCCCCCCACAGCCCCCATTGACGCCCATAGCACCCATTGACACCCACAGCCCCCATTGATGCCCATAGCACCCATAGCCCCCATTGACACCCACAGCCCCCATTGACACCCACAGCCCCCATTGACACCCACAGCCCCCATTGACGCCCATAGCACCCACAGCCCCCATTGACACCCACAGCCCCCATTGACACCCACAGCCCCCATTGACGCCCACAGCCCCCATTGACACCCACAGCCCCCATTGACGCCCATAGCACCCATTGACACCCACAGCCCCCATTGACGCCCATAGCACCCACAGCCCCCATTGACACCCACAGCCCCCATAGCCCCCCACAGCCCCCATTGACGCCCATAGCACCCATTGACACCCACAGCCCCCATTGACACCCACAGCCCCCATTGACACCCACAGCCCCCATTGACACCCACAGCCCCCATTGACACCCATTGACGCCCATAGCACCCATGGCTCTCACCGTGGGTGCTGGGTGCAGGCAGGCGCCGGCGGCACTGGGGGCAGCGGGGGAGGGGCGGCTCCTCCCCTCCCCCCTCCTCTTCCTCCCCCCCCCAACGGGTGCAGACAGGGCAGCAGCGCCCTGGGGGAGGGGAGAGACCCGGAGCACCCATTGGCACCCATTGAGACCCATTGAGACCCATTGAGACCCATTGACACCCATTGAGACCCATTGACACCCATTGACACCCATTGATACCCATTGACACCCATTGACACCCACTGATACCCATTGAGACCCATTGACACCCATTGACACCCATTGATACCCATTGGCACCCATTGACACCCATAGATACCCATTGATACCCATTGATACCCATTGACACACATTGATACCCATTGACACCCATTGACACCCATTGACACCCACTGACACCCATTGATACCCACTGGCACCCATTGGCACCCATTGGCACCCATTGATACCCATTGACACCCATTGGCACCCATTGACACCCACTGACACCCATTGATACCCATTGGCACCCATTGACACCCATTGATACCCATTGGCACCCATTGGCACCCATTGACACCCACTGACACCCATTGGCACCCATTGATACCCATTGGCACCCATTGACACCCACTGACACCCATTGGCACCCATTGACACCAACTGATACCCATTAGCACCCATTGATACCCATTGATACTCATTGGCACCCATTGATACCCACTAACACCCATTAGCACCCATTGACACCCATTGGTACCCACTGACACCCACAGATCCCCTATAGCAGCGATTGTCCCCCATAGCACCCATTGACACCCCCCACCACCCATTGCCCCCCACAGCACCCATAGACTCCCCACAGCACCCACTGCCCCCCACACCCCCTTAGCACCCATAGACCCCCACAGCACCCCCACAGCACCCCACTGCCCCCCACAGCACCCATAGCCCCCCACAGCAGCCATAGCCCCCCACAGCACCCCCAGCCCCCCACAGCACCCATAGCCCCCCACAGCACCCCCACAGCACCCCCAGCCCCCCACAGCACCCATGGGTGCCCTCACCGAGGCGGGCGCAGGGGGGGCAGAGCCCATCCTGGGGCACCCATTCGGGGTCCCCCCCCCGGCCTGGGGTGGCCCCACAGCGCCGGCACCTGGAGCACCCCCAGCACAGCTGCAAGGGACGGGGGGGTCAGTGGGTGCCCCCCACCCATGGGTGCCCCACAGCAGCCATAGGGACCCCATGGAAGCCATAGGAACCCCATAGAATCCATAAGAACCCCACAGAACCCATGGGGCCACCCCACAGAACCCACAGGGACCCCCCCATAGAACCCATAGGGACCCCACAGAACCCATAGGACCACCCCATAGCACCCATAGGGACCCCATAACACCCATGGGACTACCCCACAGCACCCATAGGGACCCCATAGCACCCATAGGGACCCCATAACACCCATGGGACTACCCCACAGCACCCATAGGGACCCCATAGCACCCATGGGACCACCCCACAGCACCCATAGGGACCCCATAGCACCCATGGGACCACCCCACAGCACCCACAGGGACCCCATAGCACCCATGGGACCACCCCACAGCACCCATAGGGACCCCATAGCACCCATAGGACCACTCCACAACCCTCCCATAGAGCACAGCGCACCCTCCCCAGCACCCATGGGTGCCCCCCCGAGCACCCATAACCCCCCTATAGCACCCAGAGAACCCCATAGACCACAATGCCCCTCCCCATAGCACCCATAGGGACCCCATAGGACCCATGGGACCACCCCATAGCACCCATAGAGACCCCATAGGACCCATGGGACCACCCCATAGCACCCACAGAACCCAACAGACCACAATGCCCTGCCCCATAGCACCCATAGAGCACAATGGCCGCCCCCCCACCCCATAGCACCCATGGGTGCTGACCCAGGCGGTGCCCCGGGGGGGCCGGGGGGGGGCGCTGGGCCCCAGACATGGGGGGTGGAAGCAGCGGCGGCAGCGGCAGCACTCGAGGAGGGGCTGGAACAGAGAGGGGGGGGCCCTATAGGTGCTATGGGGCGCTATGGGGCCCAATGGGACCCAATGTCCCCATAGCCTCCCATAGATGTCCACAGTGCCCCATAGAACGCATTGACCCCCATAGCACCCAATGGGTCCCAATGCACCCACTGCCCTCCATTACCCCCCACTGAACCCACTCCCCCCACATTGACCCCCCGCTGACCCCCCCATTGACCCCCCGCTGAACCCCTCCCCCCCATTGACCCCCTGCTGACCCCCCATTGACCCCCCATTGACCCCCTGCTGACCCCCCCTCCCCCATTGACCTCCCGCTGACACCCCTCCCCCCCATTGACCCCCTGCTGACCCCCTCTCCCCCCCCATTGACCCCCCGCTGACCCCCCCGGTTGACCCCCCATTGACCCCCCGCTGACCCCGCCCATCCCCCCCATTGACCCCCCGCTGACCCCCCCTCCCCCCCATTGACCTCCCGCTGACCCCACCACTGACCCCCCACTGACCCCGCCCCTCCCCACCATTGACCCCCCCATTGACCCCTGCTGACCCCCCATTGATGCCCCGCTGACCCCCCCTCCCCCCCATTGACCTCCCGCTGACCTCCCCCATTGACCCCCCGCTGACCCCCCCTCCCCCCATTGACCCCCCCGCTGACCCCCCATTGACCCCTCCTTGACCCCCCATTGACCCCCGGCTGACCCCCCGCTGACCCCCCATTGACCCCCCGCTGACCCCCCCTCCCCCCATTGACTTCCCGCTGACCCCCCCATTGACCCCTCCTTGACCCCCCCTCCCCCCCATTGACCCCCTGCTGACCCCGCCCATCCCCCCCATTGACCCCCTGCTGACCCCCGCTCCCCCCATTGACCCCCCGCTGACCCTCCCTCCCCCGCACTGACCCCCCCATTGACCCCCCATTGACCCCCCGCTGACCCCCCCCTGACCCCCCGCTGACCCCGCCCCTCCTGCCCATTGACCCCCCGCTGACCCCGCCCCTGACCCCCCCATTGACCCCCCCTCCCCCCCGTTGACCCCCCGCTGACCTTTCCGGCTCGGCCCCGCCTCCCGCACACGTGACAGCTCCGGCACTGGCGGCAGCTCCAGGCCCCGGCCTGGCCCGGGCCCGGCCCCTCCCCCCGCGCCAGGCAGAACCCGTGGAAAGGCTGACAGCAAATCTGGCAATGCAGGAGCTGGGGGAGGGGCAGTGGGGCTGGGACCCATAGAGACACATAGGGACCCATAGAGACACATAGAGACCCATAGGGACCCATAGGGACCCATAGAGACCCATAGAGACCCATAGAGACCCATAGGGACCCATAGAGACACATAGAGACCCATAGAGACCCATAGAGACCCATAGGGACCCATAGAGACCCATAGAGACACATAGAGACCCATAGCAGGCTGACAGCAAATCTGGCAATGGAGGAGCTGGGGGAGGGGCAGTGGGGCTGGGACCCATAGAGACCCATAGGGACCCATAGGGACACATAGAGACCCATAGAGACCCATAGGGACCCATAGAGACCATAGGGACCCATAGAGACCCATAGAGACCCATAGAGACCCATAGAGACCCATAGGGACCCATAGAGACCCATAGAGACCCCATAGAGACCCATAGGGACACATAGAGACCCATAGGGACACATAGCAGGACCCATAGTTTGCCCCATAGCACCCCCATAGCATGCCCCCCAGTGTGCTCCATAGCACCCTTCATAGTGTGCCCCATAACACCCCCCATAGTGTGCCCCACAGTGCACCCCATAGTGTGCCCCATAGCACCCCCCATAGCGTGCCCCATAGCACCCCCCATAGCATGACCCATAGCGTGCCCCACAGCGTGCCCCATAGCGTGCCCCATAACATCCCCCACAGCGTGCCCCATAGCGTGCCCCATAGCGTGCCCCACAGCGTGCCCCATAGCACCCCACAGCGTGCCCCATAGCACCCCCCACAGCGTGCCCCACAGCGTGCCCCATAGCGTGCCCCATAGCGTGCCCCACAGCGCCCCCCAGCCTGACCTGGTGCTGGCCCTTGCTGGCGCAGAGCAGGCAGACGAGGGGGGCGCTGACGGGCACGGAGGAGACGATGCTGAGGCCCCCCAGCAGCCACACGTTGTCCAGGGCACTGTCCTCCTATGGGGCATAGCACCCACATAGCGTGCCCCAGGGGGTAGCACCCCCCATAGGGATGTATAGGGCACGTATGGGGCACGGGCACGGCACGTATAGGGCGCGTATAGGGGGTATAGGGAGGTATAAGGATGTATAGGGCATGTATAGGGCACGTATAGGGGGTATAGGGAGGTATAGGGATGTATAGGGCACGTATAGGGGGTACAGGGACGTATAGGGATGTATAGGGCACGTATAGGGCACGTATAGGGGGATATAGGGACGTATAAGGATGTATAGGGCGCGTATAGGGCACGTATGAGGGACGTACAGGGATGTATAGGGCACGTATAGGGGGTATAGGGAGGTATAGGGATGTATAGGGATGTATAGGGCACGTATAGGGGGTATAGGGAGGTATAGGGATGTATAGGGCACGTATAGGGGGTATAGGGAGGTATAAGGATGTATAGGGCACGTATAGGGGGATATAGGGACGTATAAGGATGTATAGGGCACGTATAGGGCACGTATAGGGGGTATAGGGAGGTATAAGGATGTATAGGGCACGTATAGGGGGATATAGGGACGTATAAGGATGTATAGGGCACGTATAGGGCACGTATAGGGGGTATAGGGAGGTATAGGGATGTATAGGGCACGTATAGGGGGTACAGGGAGGTATAGGGATGTATAGGGCACATATAGGGGGTATAGGGAGGTATAAGGATGTATAGGGCACGTATAGGGGGTACAGGGAGGTATAGGGATGTATAGGGCACGTATAGGGGGATATAGGGACGTATAGGGATGTATAGGGCACGTATAGAGGATATAGGGACGTACAGGGATGTACATGGCACATATGGGGGATGTATAGGGATGTATAGAGCATGTATAGGGGGATATAGGGACATATAAGGATGTATAGGGCACATATGGGGTATGTATAGGGGACATAGGGACGTATAAGGATGTATAGGGCACATATGAGGGACGTACAGGGATGTATAGGGCACGTATAGGGGGTATAGGCACATATAAGGATGTACATGGCACATATGGGGGACGTATAGCGGATATATGGACGTATAGGGATGTATAGGGCATGTATAGGGGATACAGAAACGTATAAGGATGTATAGGGCACGTATAGGGGATATAGGCACATATAAGGATGTATAGGGCACATATGGGGGACGTATAGGGATGTAGAGGGCACGTATAGGAGGATATAAGGACGTATAAGGATGTACATGGCACATATGGGGGACGCATAAGGGATATAGGGACATATAAGGATGTATAGGGCACATATAGGGGGATATAGGGACGTATAGGGATGTATAGGGCACGTACAGGGGGATATAGGAACGTATAGGGATGTATAGGGCACGTATGGGGGACGTATAGGGATGTATAGGGCACGTATAGGGGGATATAGGGACGTATAGGGATGCATAGGGCACGTATAGGGCACGTATAGGGACGTATAGGGATGTAGACGGCATGTATAGGGGGATATAGGAACACATAGGAATGTATAGGGCACATATAAGGGCGTATAGAGCTTGTATAGGGATGCATAAAGCATGTATAGGGGTGTATAAGACATATAGGGGACATATAGGGAACATATAAGGGGTACAAACACGTATAGGAGTGTCTAGGGCACGTATAGGTGGGTATAGGAACGTGTAGGGCACACACAGGGATGTATATGAGATGTATAGGGAACATACAGTGACCCATGCAGACGCATAAGCAGCATACAGGGATGTATAGGGGTGTATAAAACACACATACATGTATATGGGAAACGTATAGGGATGCACAGCGGGTATATATGGGTGCATAGGGGATGTATAGGAACGTATAGGGGTGCACAGGGAACATATAGGGCTGCATAGGATACGTATAGGAACGTATAGGGATGCATAGAGAATGTATAGGGATGCATAAGGGACATATAAGGGTGCATGGGGACGTATAGGAACATATAGGGATGCATAGAGAATGCATAGGGATGCATAAGGGACATATAAGGATGCATAGGGTACGTATAGGAACGTATAGGGGTGCATAGGGGACGTATAGGCAATGTATAGGAACGTATAGGGACACATATGAAACATAGGGGTGCATAGGTTACGTATAGGAACATATAAGGGTGCATAGGAGACGTATAGGGGTACATAGGAGGACATATAGGAACGTGTAAGGATGCAGAGGGAACATATAAGGATGCACAGCGAACGCATAGGGATGCATAGGGGACGTATAGGGGTGCATAGGCGACATATAGGAACGTATAGGGAACGTAAAGAGGTGCATAAGGTATGTATAGGAACATATAGGGGTGCATAGGGAACGTATGGGGTGCATAGGGGACATATAGGGGTGCATAGCGGACATATAGGGGAGTATGGGGAATACATAGAGGTCTATAGGAGTGCATAGGGACATAAACGATGTGATTTTGGGTCATTTTGGGGTGATCTGGGGTCATTTTGGGGTGATTTTGGCCCATTTTGGGTCATTTTGGGGTGATTTTGGCCCATTTTGTGTCATTTTGGGGTGAATTTGGGTCATTTTGGGGTGATTTTGGGGTGATTTTGGGCCATTTTGGGGTGATTTTGGCCCATTTTGGGGTGAATTTTTGATCATTTTGGGGTGATTTTGGGTCATTTTGGGTCATTTTTTGATGATTTTGGGTGATTTTGGGTGATTTTAGGGTGATTTTTGGCCATTTTGGGGTGATTTTGGGTGATTTTAGGGTGATTTTGGGACATTTTGGGGTGATTTTTGGGTCATTTTGGGGTGATTTGGGGTCATTTTAGGGTGATTTTGGGGTGATTTTGGGGTGATTTTTGGGTCATTTTGGGGTGATTTCTGGATCATTTATGGTGATTTGGAGTCATTTTGGGGTGATTTTTGGGCCATTTTGGGGTGATTTTGGGCCATTTTGGGGTGATTTTGGGCGATTTTGGGTGATTTTAGAGTGATTTTGGGCCATTTTGGGGTGATTTTGGGTGATTTGGGGTGATTTTGGGCCATTTTGGGGTGATTTGGGGTGATTTTAGAGTGATTTTGGGCCATTTTGGGGTGATTTTGGGTGATTTGGGGTGATTTGGGGTGATTTGGGGTGATTTTGGGCCATTTTGGGGTGATTTGGGGTGATTTTAGAGTGATTTTGGGCCATTTTGGGGTGATTTTGGGTGATTTTGGGTAATTTGGGGTGATTTGGGGTGATTTTGGGCCATTTTGGGGTGATTTTAGGGTGATTTTGGGTCATTTTGGGGTGATTTTGGGGTGATTTTGGGTCATTTTGGGTGATTTTGGGTGATTTTGGGGTGATTTTGGGCCCCGCTCACCTTGAAGTCCACGCGCAGGCGGTGCACCCCATCGCTGGAGCGCCCCTTCCCCGACCACCCATTGTGGGGGGGGGCCAGGGCGCCGGGGGGGCCCCACTCCTATGGGGGGGGAAAGGGGGGTCAGGGAGGGGTCATGACCCCCTGACCTGACCCCCCCATTGGGTGCCATTCACAAACCCCCCGCCCCCCATAGCACCCATGGGTGCTCCACACCTGCTTCCCCCCCAGGGCACCCATGGGTGCTCCCCCCCCCCCCCATAACACCCATGGGTGCCATCCCCCCCCCCCATAGCACCCATGGGTGCTCCCCCCCCCCATAGCACCCATGGGTGCCCCCCATCACAATGGGTGCCCCCCCCCCATAGCCCCCATGGGTGCCCCCCCCCCCCCCCATAGCACCCATGGGTGCCCCCCCCCCACAGCACCCATGGTTCCCCCCCCATAGCACCCATGGTTCCCCCCCCATAGCACCCATGGGTGCTCCCTACCCCCCCAGCACCCATGGTTCCCCCCCCCATAGCACCCATGGGTGCTCCACACCCCCTCCCCCCATCGCCCCCATGGGTGCTCCCCACCCCCCCCCCCATAGCACCCATGGTTCCCCCCCCATAGCACCCATGGTTCCCCCCCCATAGCACCCATGGGTGCTCCCTCCCCCCCCCCCCATAGCACCCATGGTTCCCCCCCCATAGCACCCATGGATGCTCCACACCCCCTCCCCCCATAGCACCCATGGGTGCCCCCCCCATAGCACCCATGGGTGCTCCACACCCCCTCCCCCCCATAGCACCCATGGGTGCTCCCCCCCCCCCCCCATAGCACCCATGGGTGCCCCCCCCTCCTCCATAGCACCCATGGGTGCCCCCCACCTGTGGGTGCCGGCGCCTCGCCCGCAGCTGCAGCAGGGGCTGGAGCGGGGCCCTGCGGGGCCGGGGGGGGTCCAGGTCCTCGGGGGGGGGCTCTGGGGGGCAAAGGGGGTCCCATTGAGCCCCATTGAGCCCCACTGAGCCCCATTGAAACCCACTGAGCCCCATTGAGGCCCACTGAGCCCCATTGAGCCCCATTGAAACCCACTGAGCCCCATTGAGCCCCATTGAAACCCATTGAAACCCACTGAGCCCCATTGAAACCCACTGAGCCCCATTGAGCCCCATTGAACCCCATTGAGCCCCACTGAACCCCATTGAGGCCCATTGAGACCCATTGAACCCCATTGAACCCCACTGAGCCCCCATTGAACCCCACTGCTCCTCATTACCCCCCACTGCCTCCCCCACTTTCTCCCCCCAATTGACCCCATTACCCATCCCCCCATCGCCCCCCATTCCCCTCTCCCTCCCCCCCATTGACCCCCATCCCCTCCCCATTGACCCCCCATCCCCATCCCCCCCCTCCCCTCCCCCCCATTGACCCCCATCCCCTCCCCCCTCACCCTCTCCCTCCCCCCCATTGACCCCCATCCCCATCCCCCCCATCCACTCCCCCCTCTCCCTCTCCCTCCCCCCCCATTGACCCCCATCCCCTCACCCTCTCCCTCCCCCCCATTGACCCCCATTGACCCCCATCCCCTCCCCCCATCCCCCTCCCCCCCATCCCCTCCCCCCCACCCTCTCCCTCCCCCCATTGACCCCCCATCCCCATCCCCCCCATCCCCTCCCCCCATTGACCCCCATTCCCCCCCATTGACCCCCATCCCCCCCCCACCCTCTCCCCTCCCTCCCCCCATTGACCCCCATCCCCCCACCCCCATTGACCCCCATCCCCTCCCCCCCATCCCCCCCTCCCCTCTCCCTCCCCCCCATTGACCCCCATTGACCCCCATCCCCATCCCCCCCATCCCCTCCTCCCCCATTGACCCCCATCCCCATCCCCCCCATCCCCTCCCCCCCCTCCCTCTCCCTCCCCCCTCCCCCCATTGACCCCCATCCCCATCCCCCCCATCCCCTCCCCCCCCATTGACCCCCATTGACCCCCATCCCCTCCCCCCTCCCCCTCTCCCTCCCCCCCATTGACTGCCATTACCCCCCCATCCCCCTCCCCCCTCGCCCAACTCCCTCCCCCCCATTGACCCCCATTGACCCCCATCGAACCCCATTGACCCCATTGACCCCCATTGACCCCGTTGACTCCCATTGACCCCCATTGACCCCCATCCCCTCCCCCCCATTGACCCCCACCCCCTCCCCCCCCACCCTCTCCCGCCCCCCCCCCGCGGGCCCCCTCGCCGAGGGGGGGGGGGCGGCGCCTCGCGGAGCGGCGCGGGGGGGTGGGGGTGGGGCGGGGGGGAGGGGCAGGGCCCCGGAAGCCTCCGGGGGGGGCGGCCCCTCCCCTCCCCCAGCCCCGCCCCCTCCCCCCCACGTGGGCTCGGCCCCGCCCCCCGCCTCCGCCACCGAGTCCCCGGAGTCCTCCGAGTCCCAGGGGGCGCCACGTGGGGGGCAGCGGCCTATGGGGAGAGGGGGGGGGCGGTCAGAGCCTGCCCATTGGGACCCATTGATCCCATTGGGACCCATTGAGCCCCATTGAGCCCCATGGAGCCCCATTGATCCCATTGAGCCCCATTGGGACCCATTGATCCCATAGGGACCCATTGAGCTCCATTGGGACCCATTGAGCCCCATTGATCCCATTGAGCCCCATTGGGACCCATTGAGCCCCATTGATCCCATAGGGACCCATTGAGCCCCATTGATCCTATTGAGCTCCATTGAGCCCCACTGAGCCCCATTGGGATCCATTGAGCCCCATTGAGCCCCATTGGGACCCATTGAGCCCCACTGGGACCCATTGAGCCCCATTGATCCCACTGAGCTCCATTGAGCCCCATTGGGACCCACTGAGCTCCATTGAGCCCCATTGGGACCCACTGAGCCCCATTGATCCCATTGAGCTCCACTGAGCCCCATTGAGCCCTACTGGGCCCCACTGAGCTCCACTGAGGTGCACTGAGCCCCATTGGGCCCCATGCATCCCACTGAGCCCCACTGAGCCCCATTGATCCCATTCCCCCCCACTGAGCACCATTGGGACCCATTGAGCTCCATTGAGCCCCATTGGGCCCCATGCATCCCACTGAGCCCCACTGAGCCCCATTGATCCCAGTCCCCCCCATTGAGCACCATTGGGACCCATTGAGCCCCATTGAGCTCCATTGGGCCCCATGCATCCCACTGAGCCCCATTGATCCCCATTGATCCCATTCCCCCCCACCGAGCACCATTGGGACCCATTGAGCTCCATTGAGCCCCATTGGGCCCCATGCATCCCACTGAGCCCCACTGAGCCCCATTGATCCCATTCCCCCCCATTGAGCTCCATTGGGACCCATTGAGCTCCATTGAGCCCCATTGGGCCCCATGCATCCCACTGAGCCCCACTGAGCCCCATTGATCCCATTCCCCCCCATTGAGCACCATTGGGACCCATTGAGCACCATTGGGACCCATTGAGCCCCATTGGGGCCCATGCATCCCACTGAGCCCCACTGAGCCCCATTGATCCCATTTCCCCCCCATTGAGCCCTATTAGTCCCCATTGCCCCACATTGCCCCCACGGCCCCCACTGCCCCCCATTGCCCCCCATTAATCCCACTGCCCCCCATTGCCCATTGTCTCCCATTGCCCCCCCACTGCCCCCCATTGATCCCACTGCCCCCCATTGCCCATTGACTCCCATTGTCTCCCATTGACTCTCATTGCCTCCCACTGACTCCCGTTGCCCCCCATTGAGCCCTATGGCCCCCCATTGACTCCCACTGCCCCCCATTGATCCCCACTGCCCCCCATTGAGCCCTATAGCCCCCCACTGAGCCCTATAGCCCCCCACTGAGCCCCCCCCCCCATTACCTGGGTCCCTCTGTGCCGGTGCTGGGGCCATGTGGCCGGGGGGAGGGGGAATGGGGGGGCGGGGCCAATGGGGGGCGGGGCCAATGGGGGCGGGGTCAATTGAGAGGGAGGAGCCAATGGGGGGAGAGGATGTGTGCAGGCCTAAAGAGCTCCCCCAAGTGATCTATGGCACCCATAGCACCCTATGGAACCCCATAGCACCCATGGCACCCTATGGAACCCCATAGCACCCATGGCACCCTATGGAACCCCATAGCACCCATGGCACCCTATGGAACCCCATAGCACCCTATGGAACCCCATAGCAACCATAGCACCCTATGGAACCCCATAGCACCCTATGGAACCCCATAGCACCCATGGCACCCTATGGAACCCCATAGCAACCAAGGCACCCTATGGAACCCCATAGCACCCAATGGAACCCCATAGCACCCATGGCACCCTATGGAACCCCATAGCACCCATGGCACCCTATGGAACCCCATAGCACCCATAGCACCCTATGGAACCCCACAGCACTCACAGCACCCTATGGAACCCCATAGCAACCACAGCACCCTATGGAACCCCATAGCAACCATGGTACCCTATGGAACCCCACAGCATCCATAGCACTCTCTGGAACCCCACAGCACCCATAGCACCCTATGGAACCCCATAGCACCCATAGCACCCTATGGAACCCCATAGCAACCACAGCACCCTATGGAACCCCATAGCAACCATGGCACCCTGTGGAACCCCATAGCACCCATGGCACCCTATGGAACCCCATAGCACCCATGGTACCCTATGGAACCCCATAGCACCCATGGCACCCTATGGAACCCCATAGCAACCATAGCACCCCACAGCACCCATAGCACCCATAGCACCCATAGCACCCACAGCACCTATGGAACCCCATAGCACCCATGGCACCCTAGCACCCATAACCCCACAGCCCCCATAGCCCCCGTAGCACCCATAGCACCCATAGCACCCACAGCACCCATAGCACCCACAGCACCCACAGCACCCATAGAACCCATAGCACCATAGCACCCCAGCATAGCACCCATAGCCCCCATAGCACCCATAGCACCCATAGCACCATAGCACCAGCACCCAGCACCCACAGCACCCATAGCACCCACAGCACCCATAGCACCCACAGCACCCATAGCACCCATAGCACCCATAGCACCCATAGCACCCACAGCACCCACAGCACCCATAGCACCCATAGCACCCATAGCACCCACAGCACCCACAGCACCCACAGCACCCACAGCACCCATAGCACCCACAGCACCCATAGCACCCATAGCACCCATAGCACCCATAGCGCCCCATAGCACCCCATGGACCCCATAGCACCCATAGCACCCATAGCACCCATAGCACCCATAGCACCCACAGCACCCACAGCACCCATAGCACCCACAGCACCCATAGCACCCACAGCACCCATAGCACCCATAGCACCCATAGCACCCATAGCACCCATAGCACCCATAGCACCCACAGCACCCATAGCACCCATAGCACCCATAGCACCCATAGCACCCATAGCACCCACAGCACCCATAGCACCCACAGCACCCATAGCACCCATAGCACCCATAGCACCCACAGCACCCATAGCACCCATAGCACCCATAGCACCCATAGCACCCATAGCACCCATAGCACCCATAGCACCCACAGCACCCAAAGCACCCACAGCACCCAAAGCACCCAGAGCACCCACAGCACCCCATAGCCCCCATAGCACCCATAGCACCCATAGCACCCACAGCACCCATAGCACCCATAGCACCACAATACCTGGAGGTGCAGTACGACTGCGTGCCCTATAGTGAGTGCTGCCCCACAGCGCCTGCCCCATAGCACCCATAGCACCCATAGCACCCCATGGACCCTATATCACCCATAGCACCCCATAGCACCCACTGCACCCATAGAACTAAATATCACCCCATAGCACCCATGGCACCCCATAGCATCTCACAGTGCCCATGGGTGCCCCATAGCGCCCCATAGCACCCACAGCTCCCATAGCACCCACAGCACCCATAGCACCCATAGCAACTCAATACCTGGAGGTGCAGTACGACTGCGTGCCCACCCAGTGCTAGCACCCACAGCCCCCATAGCACCCATAGCACCCATAGCACCCATAGCACCCATAGCACCCATAGCACCCATAGCACCCATAGCACCCATAGCACCCATAGCACCCACAGCACCCACAGCACCCATAGCACCTCAAGTATCAGGAGGTGCAGCACAACTGCGTGCCCTATAGTGAGTGCTGCCCCACAGAGCCTGCCCCATAGCACCCATAGCACCCATAGCACCCACAGCACCTCAATACCTGGAGGTGCAGTACGACTGCGTGCCCTATAGTGAGTGCTGCCCCACAGCGCCTGCCCCATAGCACCCATAGCACCCACAGCACCCATAGCACCCATAGCACCCATAGCACCTCAATACCTGGAGGTGCAGCACCCATACTGCGTGCCCTATACAGTGCACCCACAGCACCCTGCCCCATAACACAGCCCCATAGCACCCATAGCACCCATAGCACCCATAGCACCCATAGCACCCAGAGCACCCATAGCACCCATAGCACCTCAATACCTGGAGGTGCAGTACGACTGCGTGCCCTATAGTGAGTGCTGCCCCACAGCGCCTGCCCCATAGCACCCATAGCACCCATAGCACCCAGAGCACCCATAGCACCCATAGCACCTCAATACCTGGAGGTGCAGTACGACTGCGTGCCCTATAGTGAGTGCT